GGGGGGTTGCCCGATATTTTTGTTAATATCGGTCATCAGCGGTTTGTGAGCCGCTGATGACAGCTATTATTTTGAAGGGGACAGTCAGCTGAACAGTTCTGCTATAAGCTTATGGTCGCTAAATCGACCATGAGCTTATAGCAGAATTGTAAATGCCATCGGCGTAAGGCATACTGGCATACTGAGCTGGCCAGCCGGGAACACTTTTGTTCCGCCGTATGCCTTACATCGGTGGCAGCGAAAGGGTTCAAATTTATCCAAGCAAAAAAATTTTTTTTTGTTTTTTTGTCATGAGGGACAGAAATTGATGAAAAATCCAACATTTTACAGCTGTCACTGAAGCAGGAGGTTGGGGAAATTTTCCAGTGACAACACCTGTTTCAGTGACAGCTGTCCAGAAAGGGATTTTTCCTTTTTTTCTGTCCCAGAGAGACGGCTGAAATCGAAGGGAAAAAACCCCAATGGGACACACCCCCAAAAAAGTACCAGGGGTTTTAACCATTCCCTACTCTGTTCACATCTAACAAAATATTTTGGCTTTAGATATTCCTTAAAGCTCGATTCCACCTTTGTGGATGTATAAAAGATGCCAGTAATGTATACCAAGTGTACATGTAGCAGGCATGGGCAGTTGTTGTATATGAACACGGAAACATACTTTGTTAGCTGTCCTCTATGTCTCCTCATGGCTCCTTTTGAAATGGCCGCTTCTATGCTCTGCATGCAGTCTGTGTAAGTTACAAGCTGCTCTGCACAGTGGGAACTACAATTAAGGGCATGGAAAACTACATTTCCCACAATACTATGCTTCCCTCGTGCACTAACTTCTCTGAGAAAACAACTCCGTTGTAAATTAGATTTTAGCACCGTCCGTCCTAACAAAGGGTTAAAGATTTGAAGTCTTGGGTTCTGCATTGTATGTTATTCGGGGGGAAACGCACTCTGTCACAGTTTGTTTTTTCTAAATTGTTCAGCAGAGGTTGCAGTACTATGTATAATCCTTCTCCAAAGAAACAACTAGAATGGTAAAAGTGTTTTTGAAAATGTACTTTTAGGTATGCTGTGTGAATGGGAACACATGGCAAACATATACTGTAGTTAGGGTCTCCTAAATTTGACTGCAAAGTGGAGCGTTACTTTTTAAAGGTTTTCTGAAAGCAAACAGCCCTAGGCTCCATTCTTTTGATCAGAATGAGAGGGGGGCTTGCAGCCGGTGTGGGCACAGAAGTTCAGTGGGAGCA